GGGCCTACAACAATTCCGCCTCCATCGGAAATGCAGCCGCCGCAGCCGGGATTCGATGCCGCGACCTGTGGGTCAGCAGCCGAGTACCTTAGCCACTAGACCACCGTGGCGGGGCATCTCTCCTGAACTGCCAGAAATTAGTGTAGCTGTCAGAGTGCGGAAACATTGCCTTTGGATTTCGACCCGCCGGCGCGTAAAGATGCAGACGTGCCCCACATCGATGGCACCTGGTCGAGACAAAGCGAAAAAAAGCGCGCGCTGCGTCCGTCTGCTGCACGAGGCGGGGTATATACAGCGGCGGAAATGATGCGCCCGCATTTGAATGCGTGATTCCGGAATTGAATACCAACCTATACATTCTATTATGAACACCCTAATTGACTTATGGTCGTATAATTCGGCGGCCCACTTGGTAGCAAGGGTAGGAACAGGCTTCACGTGTGCTCATAGACTCCGTGCATCCTTAACGAAGGCGTTGCCGATACCGTGCCCTCCATTAGAATTAGCGGTGGTGGCTTGCTACCATTACGAACTGCTACGCCATGGATGGGTAAACTGCATTTGCGATGCTAGCATCACCTTTCAAGCTACGAAATGATGACTGTGGCACCACGCCTCCTTCTCCATTGGCACAGTGCCACTGGTTCGTCATCTTTGCCGGTCATATGAAAGCACGGAGTGCGCCGTCCGCTCCTTTCATCTGGCGACAAAAGCGCCAGCAGGCTACGTGCGTACTTGCCAATGCTTCGCATCTTTTACGCAGGTTAGGAATCAGTCTATTACTTACTTTCGCTGCTCTTGACGCTGCTGTCATCAGTATCATTTAATTCATTTTGCATTTTTACCATGTTTGTTTGAAGGACGTTGAAGGAGATCAGACAATTCTATGATTATCAGAAGCGTGAGGCTATATATTGGTTCAGAGATTACAGGGAAACAATCGAGTGAGACTTTCTCGAGGACATAAGGAGTATCAAAACTACTGCAAACAAGCAACGTGGAGAAATTAGAAATAAAATGCAAGCCCTGAGGGCTTCAAATTCTAAATTAGAGCTGCAGTGCTGTGGTCTCGCATGGCAGGTAAATGAACACGAGAAGAGAATACTTCGGTATGAACAGTTTTTCGAAGGGTAAATGCCGAGATTGAAGACGTTCCGTACAAATACCCCGAAAATAGAGTTTAAAAGGTCATGAAAACTGGGGAAACAGTGGTCGCGCCACTAGTTGCGACTAATATCAAACGAGCACAGAGTTCCAACGGCAGACAACTAAGGCAACAAAAAAATGTGGTTGTGCAGATCGAGCAGAGACAATGACGGGATAACTCTTTGACGAATGCGAGTGCAGTAATCGCGAAGTATTCTTATCTCGACATCGACGCTCGGTCAGCGGCGTTCTCAAATGATTATCTGTGCCCGAAATGGAAACGACTAATTGGTCAGGCTACGGCACGCAAGTGCGAGACTGGTTGGAAAAGTGTGTAGATTCGCGGTGGAAAAACCTTTGAACTGCAGACTGAAAATGCGCCGAGGATCAAAATTGAAAGCATGTGATGGCGTAAACAAAGCGAAAAGTTCTTTGTGAAAGCGGTGCGCAGAAAAAAGTAGTTTGTGTTGTAGGCACAAATATAACGGCGCCGCTGTAAAATGGGAACTTGGTTTGTCTGTTCCATTAACACCAAAACACCTTTGTCATGGGTGTTTTGATTTCTAAAAACCCGCATGTTGTAGTCTGTTTGGTATACGGAAAACACCCTTAAGGGTGCAAACTGGCTTAAAGTGTACGGCTCTCGTCGATGCGGCCAGATTTAGAAAATATGCTCTGCTATTGCTTACCACAAATATCCTTTCTTCTTTCTATTTTGACGCCTTCAATTCTCTTAGAGCAGAATAGGGTGTAAAACAAGGTGGACATAACTAGCATTCACAAGGGTGCGACGTGGAATCGCAACTCTTAATACATGCACAGAGTTGATGTGATTATTTCTATACTTTATGTTATTTCAGCAGTAAAGCAAAACACTTCGCTTTGTTTGTTCGTTTGTAGCCCAAAATTCATGGCACATACCCACTTTAGGGGATTGGCCAAGAATACATATAGTAATATATTGACGATAACTGTGCTATTGCTTACAAAAAAGAAAAAAAACAAAGATATAGAAGGAAGACAGCATACTTTAAAAAACAAAGATTCAGGGATTGAGGGAAAAAAACAAGAAAATGATCACTAATATAATAACTATACCTTGATTTTGGGAGCTGACCAGACAGTTGAGTTTGCCAAACCGGATTACTTTAGGATGTGAGTGAGTGAACAAACTTTATTTTAACCAGCGGATTGATGTCTCAGATTTATCCACATATTAAAAATCAATTCCCGAGCCACTTTTTTTATTATTTGTTAAAGTGGACCTTATGTTGAAATGCGTTTAGGGTCTTGAATTAAACTACCACATCGAATACATCTCTGTGGCAAATTCCCAAAACGGAGGCACCAAAATTTAGAACACTTTCTGTGGTTTAAATTTAAACCTAGCTTCGCAAACGGAATAGCTAGAAGTCTTTTTTTAATTACTGCGTAGTTACGACACAAGATAAAAAAATGTTCAATTGTTTCTGATTCTTCGCAGAATGAACACTTCGCTGGACTGCCACCGTTTCTTTTTTTTTTCTCGGTCACAAAAAGAACTACAGAATTGATACTGCGGCAACTTTGTATGTACCAATCATTGTTATCGATTGTTAACGATTGTTATCGATTGGGGCTTCTGTGCTAGTAAAATATTACGGGTATATACGCACGCGAGCTCTAGAGAAATTCCTATGCGAGTGAACTAGGTTTATTTTATTCGTTAAACGCTAATAATTTATATATTATGCCCCACTGGTAGATTCATTTTTGATTATTTGGAAGGTTATGGCATGTTTCTGGCAAAAATAAATTCATTTAAGTTAACTAATCATTCTAGTTGAGTTGGTAATTTCTGGCCCTTCAAATGTTTCAGACTATATGATGCACTCGACACTGGGCCGATTGCCCCGAACGAGAGGTGACTATCACCCAGGATCATCATCATAATCGTTTGGGTAAGAGGACATAAGCTCGATTATTCGAGAACCAGCCTTCCACCTACTGACGTGACTCTTTGGTTAAGTGGCCAAGAATCTTTCCGATAGGAAGGTGCAATGGCCTTCTCGTGATTGCTTACAGCTTTAAAGTATGTAATCATCAATATTGTCATTTCAATTCTTTATTTTCGGGATCACCCAACATTCTTCAAACATTCTCTAACAATCCACGACTACTCTAAGGCACGTGGATACGTGCCTTAGACTAGAAAAAAGGAAACAAGTTTCGGTAAGGCACGAGACCAGGCCTCGTACGCGCGAGGACAGTGAAGAAGAAGCGTCCTTCGCTGCTGGCCGGCACGCGCAAAGAGTCGTTGCTCCTAGAACGAGAACAAGGAAGAGCCGTCGCAATGCGTCGTCGTGGGTCCTCCCCGTGGTCTTTCGTCAACAAGGACGACTGCATGTCGGACTCCCGGGGAAGAGTACGTCCCCCAGGCAAGGTCTTCCAGTCACCACCGCCGCAGGCCGTGGCATCGCAGATTGTCGTCGTCCCTCTCGTCCAGCAGGTCGCGTCGTGGAAGTGACCCGCCCGACTCGCTGATACCGCATCGCTCCAGCATCTCGTCCCCGATGACGTCGTCGATGTCGGTGGCTTCGCGACCATCGCGCACGTCGCTGCGACACGGCGCCACCTCGCCGCGCAGAAGGAACGACGACGACCTCTCATCCGAAATGGACAGCACCGATGAGGATGTTGAAACCAAGAGGTATCGTACGCGTCGCTATTGTGAGTGTAATTTGACTGAACAAATCAGCTGCGGCAATTCACGTAGGGCTGAATAGCGCAAGAAAAGTTAGTCGTTCGTGTGCTCGACGTCAGCCCATATCTACAAATCTGCCCACAGTGTGACAGGACAATTTTGCCGCATAACCACACACATGCCCACTTGAGGAACACGTGTCGAATGCTCACCGCCACCCAATACAATAAAGAAGACGCCAGGTGAACACCATATTGGCTTCGTTAGATCAGTTACAATAGGTCTCATTTACGGTCATGGATACTTTCCACAATGGCAGCTGAGGACCACTGACGCTGCCTTGCAACAACAGCCTACTTTCGACCGGCCCCCTCACCATGGAAGGTCGTGTATTCCGACAGACTGTGTAATGAGCAGCGCGTCACTGCTTCATTTTCAATTTACCATCAGTTGAGAAGCGTATAGGTCAGACTCTACCAATTATGGCCACGGTTCTTGCATTTCTATAGAAGCAAAATCGTTGAGGCCTGTGCATATTTATGTGCAAATTTTAGAACCTCAGATGATCAGAATGCGCAAATGAGCTGTGCGGAAACCCGCAAGCTGGCGGAAGGTTGAAGAATGGAAAATAAAACAACTACCCGATTGTAGCATGGAGCCACAAGGGAATCTGCATGATTTTAAAGAAAGAAAATCTTCTTAGTGTCCGGAAATTTTGTCTTGGTCTGGAGACAACTGACAAGGACGAAATTGTTTACAACAAATAAGCTTTTATTTGAGAATCAAGGAAGACTTTCTTGGGGCCTCGTGCTACAATAGAGTGGGTGTCTTCTTTCCCTTTCTTGGTTACAATTTCTGGAAACCTCCGCTACACCATCTCACGTATCATCGCAGTTATTGATCGACAAACTAGAGCAATTTGGTTATGTTGTTGGGCTAGTCGGTTGACGAATTTCGAAAAAAGCTTAGAGTGCGCAAGGACCACAGGTCAAAGAGACTTCTCTGCTTCATATGTCTGTTCCTGCTTTCAGCTCGTCATTCTCACGCACTTTTTGTTCTTTTTGATCTACTCCCTTGACGAGTCCCCATTACACACACATTGTCAGTGATCACCGCACAGTAACGTGTATTCGCTCTCACTCCTCCCAGGTTGCGCGAGCCATTCTTTAACATGGCTCCCGAGATGAGCGGCTGCTTGCTGCACTTCGCGGTGGACGTGTGCCGCAAGCTTCAGGAGGGCGGTGACACGCGCAACCTGCTGGTGTCGCCCCTGCTGCTTGCCGGAATGCTGGTGATGCTGCTGCATGGCTGCGCGACTCGCACGTGTGCCTCGGCGGCCGCCCTGGGCAAGGCCCTGCACGTGCACTGGGCGCCGTTCTGCATGGCACGCGCGTACGACCATGTGGCTGGCGCCACCCTGGCGCCCTTCCGGAGGCCCAGGCTTCACGCGCAGCGCTTCACCAATACCATCTTCATGGCTCTTTTCCACGACGACAGCGTGCCGCTCACCCGCTCCTACTACCAGATGCAGGTATACCTCGGCTCTTTTTTGTCGAACGTAAGCTTAAAGGGCTCCCGAACGACCCAAATGTCATAACTAAGTTGTGTTGTTAAAGTCGTGGATGCGTCTACAACAAGCGGCAGCCATGAGAATTTTTTGGAACGATGCCGTAATAGCGGAGTTACGCGCATCTGGTAATACAGAGGGCTCCCACTCGTTTCGCTCTTTCCTTCACTCGTCCACCTGCCTGTACTTCTTGTCGAGTGTTTCTGCTCACCATACAAAACGGATGAGCTGCACAGGTGCGTGCATGCGAGCGAACAAACAGGTGTTGTTTGTGAGGAGCAGGTGACATCTTGGTGTTACAGAAGAGGGTGAGGAATGCCAAAAGGCTGGGGAGTGGGAGAAAATTGTTTTTTGCTTTTGTGAGCCGCATGCAGCTGGTGGAGTTGCCGCGTTTAGTATTGTTGATTGCGACAACATTATGAACTCAATGTGCGTTTTGCTTGAGATGTTAGTTATCAGAGGTGGTTTATGCGCCTTTGAACACTTGACAGAAGCGCACACAAACGGGAACTGCAGATATTTTAGCTGACATCAAGCAAAAAAAATGAATCTAGGCAGGTTCCGCTATGTGTGGAATAGACAACTGGCGGAGTGTAAGCGCCGCACAATAGCTACGAAGGTATGGAAAACGTAGGCAGAGAAGGCAGAGAGTTAGACGAAGTTCGAGGAAGTAGTATGCAGGGGCAGGGATGAAATGGAATGAGTGCGCAGAGGATAAGGTACACTGGAGATAATTAGGAGAGCCGTCGTCCTTCCGTGTGACTAACGCAAGCTGATAATCATTATGATTATTACTTATTTTACATCAATGTAATTGATTTGCTTTCATTTTCAAATAAGGTTTTCATGGGTCCTTTTCTAAGTGATATGGGCCCGATGTTAGCTGATGGCTATGGAATCTGAAGAGTTTGTAACACATGAAACAGTTCGTGCCTAACTCTCCGTTATTTACTATTGCATATATGTACCAAGAAAGGATGGGAAAATTTGTGTATAGTGTAAGAGAGAGAGAAAAGGTGGTGAAGGAAGGCAGGGAGGTTAACCAAGCTTTGGCTTGGCTGGCTACTCTGCACTTCGGTAGGAAAGGAGTAGTAATAGAAAAGAATAGAGAAGAAGGAGGAGTAAGAAAGAGGTGGATAACCAATCTGAAACTACCCAACATGTTGTCAACGCTTCCTGCAGGATCGCCTATCGTACCTGCTGATGAGACGCAACTTCGCGCACGACGCGGAGCAGTGTCGCTTCTCGATGGACGCCCTGGCCCACGCCGTATCTTCATACTCCTTCAAGCCGGGCGTCGATGTCTTCCCGCGGTGCTCAGTGGACGAGCACAGTCTGGTCGTCCTGCTTTCCTGGATCCGGCTGGAAGGGTCGTGGAAACACTCGTTCCAGCAGGTCAGCGGAGGCTTCCACGAGACGCCCGAGGCCACCGTCCCCGTGTCCATGATGCGACATACGGGCTCCTTCCGCACGTGCCGCTCCTCGGAGCTTGAGATCCGTGACTTCCTGCGTGTCATCTTTATACAACGTTGCTGCCAATATTATGCATATACAGGACATGGTATGCCATCGTTGTCGTCTTTACAGGAAGGCTGTGCCACTATTTAATGTTTGCTCGAAATGAGGGGCTTCGTTGCTGTCCTCCTATGATGGCGGTTCGAATATTGAATGTTGGGCGGATACGACGGACCTTTCTTGGCACCCGGATATGTTGGCTTTGCCAACACTGGTTTTGTATTAGCTTGATTGGATATTCACTGGGCCACCATTTGCTAACGTATAAACACTCGCCCATCATGCTGTGCTGCCAGGAAGTGTAAGTTCTTCCCTATATCTTACACCTGTCCTGCCTGTTCGTTCATTGTTTAGAGAGCAGGGATGTGGCTGCGCAGTTTTCGATGATAATTGTGACTTGAGAACCCCTGATGTCACATACCTAGAATTTTCGCTTATCACGCCTAAACCAAAGAAGACCAGGGACTGAAATTGCTTCCGAACACCATCATATAATAATGACTACGCAGGTCAAAGGCCTCTTCCACTATCCGTCAATGAACCAGGTCTCGGCTCTCCGCTTCCACGCCATACTAGCGAACATTTTCGTCGGCCCACGTAACTTTGTCTCTCGTTTATGCGTTTGCCCTCTCTGGGAATTCAGTTAGTTATCCTTAAAGACCAGCGGATATGCTGCATACACGCTATATGCTAGGCCCTGTCCAAATATTTTTCTTGATTTCACATGATATTCTTAACCCGGTTTGTTCCCTTATCCACACTGCTCTCTTTTTGTCTTTTAAGCTTACACCTATCATTTCTCTTTCCGTCGCTCACTGCGTCATCCCTAATTTAAGCTTAACACTCTTTGTAAGCCTCCAGGTTTCTGCTAAGCAGGTAAGTACCGGCAATATGCAGATGTTGTATACCTTTCTTTTCAGGGTTAGTGGCAGATTACCATTCATGATTTGAGAGTGCTTGCCGAATATGCTCCACCCCCTTCCTATTCTTCTAGTTCCTCACATCTCGTGGTTCGGCTACACGGTTACTACCTGCCCTAAGTAGATCTACTCTTTCAAAACTTCGAGTGTACTGCTACCTATCTGGAATTGCTGTTCCCTTCCGAGGTAGTTGTACATTACTTGCAATAATACCTTGTCTTAAACTAGTTGATGTGCCCTCGGATAAATGTAGCATGACTTAGATCAACATATGAGGCACGTATCTCCTGTCTGTATCTATCCGTGTCTCCCCTCTTCGTCTAAGTCGCCGTGCAAGGCAAGCCGTCTGAGAAAAGAGCGCGATTCCGCCCTCCCTCTGCGCCCGCCTATGTCTGTATTGCACACCGACATCGCGAACACCCTATCTCTGGGTGAAGCCTGATCAATGGGCAAACTATTTGAGATCTATGGCTTTTCGGTCAGCCTCTTCGTTACTATTTCTATTTTCTTCACAGACTTTGCGTGAGACCTATAAAGGCATAGTAATACGTGGGCGCAAGAAACGTGAGGCAAAAAAAAGACAAGCTGGTACTAGCACTGTGTTAGTCTTCCATTTTGTTTGTCTTGTTTTGCGCTGTTTATTAACATTTAGTAATGCCAACTAGCCTTACTTACAATTTTTTTGAACCTCTGAAAACTTCCCTGTGTCTCAGGGGACGGTGTTGGAGCTACCGCACGAAAACCGCGACGTGTCGCTGGTAATACTGCTGCCGCAACGCCTCGATGGTCTGGCGGCGCTGGAGAAGCGCGTCACGGCTGCCCGCTTGCTTCACTGCGTGGCACGACTCGAGGAGTGGCACAACATGACCGTCTACTTGCCCAGGCTCAAGATGAAGAGCGGCACCGACCTTGGACCCGTGCTCAAGGACATGGGTCTGGGCGTGCTCTTCACTGACGAGGCGAACCTCAGGTGCGCGTTACGGCACTGTGGTGCAAGGGCGGTACTTTGTCTCGGTGACCGAACAGAGAGTATGGGCTCAACACTGGCCTAAGCTCAATCGGGACGTGAGCATTATTTACATAATACTTCCAAAACGTGTCACGAATGCCAGTGTCGTAAAGCACCAGCTGCTTTTTTGAAGCCCGTTGCCCCTCGAACGCAACCTTTTTCAACAAATTGACACGGACCAGCTCGAACCTTTTCCCAAGTTTGGTGATGGCAACCGCTGGATTGTACTCGGCGAGCGCTCGCCGTCAGTGTGAAGAAACTCCGCTCTGCAGTCGAGTTCTTTAGGGCCGCGTGCTGCAGAGCGAGGTTTGGGGCATGGGTTCTATTGCAAAATACCAAAATGTTTCTTTTTTTAAAGACGATAGTCTTTTTAGGGACCTTGGACGCAAGAAGTTTGGTCTGTCTGTTTGTCCACCCTTAACGATACCCTAAAAGACACCTAAGAGACCAGATGATACCCCGAATGGCTGACCCCATCCGCAGAACCCACCGATGTTGCTCAAGATTCAGCGTTCATACTTGTGCAATTGTCAGTTAAAAAGCAATTATTGCGCATATCTGAGGCACCATAACAACACATGTATATTCTGTGTGTGCGCCTTTTAATAAAAAATGCTTACATAAGTAATTAAAAGGACCATAGCGTATATCACACTGCGCTGACCATGCAACGCTTGCTTGAAAAGGCAAGTGTTTGCAACGCTTTGCTACGACGACATGGGTGTGGCACCTACCCGTCGCCTTGTGTTCTACACCTTATCGCCTACGATACGGGCGAGCATGCCGTGCGCTTCGTTTTCCAAAATAACTGCCAGATAGCGCTCATGTCTCACGTGTGACGTGACTTGATGCCCTCGTCCACCTCCGCTGCTCGATCGAGGCACTCTAACGCAGTGCCTCTAGGATACCATTTACCTATTTCTTGCGCAGAACATCAAATAAATGCTTTCCTCACTCTCTCCACATGAAAGACTATTGTCTTTCAACGACACTCGCAGATTAACATGCAGATGCGGGGCCGATTTTTTTGTCATTCACTCGTGTTCATTTCACAATGTGATATTCGTGACCGAAAGAGTAACGTTTTGGTGTGTCCTCACATAAAACCCTTTTCGTGTTACAAATTGACCGCCATTCCGCCCTGCTGAAGTTAGAGTCAAACGAAGCTGTATAAAACGATACTGATTGAAGGCGGAAGTGGGGGTAGATTTGTTTCATTTTTACTTTATAGTAATAGAAGTGATAACCGCTTTGTGGTCACCGTAGTAGCCGTGATTGGCTCCACGTTTTTTTTTCAGCAAGCTGAATTTGTTCCTTTGGGTTATTTATTGTTTTCACGCTATTTTTCTGGAGTTTCCGATTTTCTTGGTCTACCCGTGAAAGTCTTAGAAGCAACTGAGTGAGTTCTTTGACGGGTCTTCTTTCTAAGTATGAAACCAGGAAACTGGCGCCGGGAAAAATAATGGCCTTTTGATGTCATTTGACCCCTCCATGAAAGACGCAAAACTGCTTCCATAGAGTTTCTCACAAAATTATTAAGGGGGGAGTCTGGTGCTAATGAGCTGCTGGATGTCAGGGAATGGTGGCATATGTGGGCTTCGAATTCGACTCGAATTTGTATCGTTGATCCAGTGGAGCCCAGGCACTCCGAAGACGCGTCTAGTTGCAAAGCGTTCCTTGCGTCAAGACGGTTAAATTCTTATTGAAGGATTGCGTATTGACCTACTTATTTTTTGCCATTGCAAAGAAATTTGTTTTATTTGACACTGGAAATTCTGCGTCGATGTTGAATTTTACGACGGGTAAGAAGTAACAAACAGCCCGTAAACCTAGCAGGCACTGCGACAAAGCCCGCGTTTTCTCTGACACTTTGTCATCTGTTTCTTTTGCCATTTGTTGTTCCCAACAAGGTTAGTGCACTTTAATTTTAAAATCTAATATGTGCGAGAGAGATCAGCTCGCAGCAGCTTTGTTTTGGAGAAAGTGTATTTACGCAGTCGTATCCGCTTTTCAGCCGATGTCTCGATACACACCAGCCAACACAAGCCTATATAGTGCCTGGAATATGCATACACCGTCATTCCCAGCGCTCTAACAGCGCCCCTTAAAAAATTGAGCGGCGCCAGATTAACATGCGCCAAATTTTCCTCTGAGTATTCTTGCGAGAATCTATGGTAGCTGCTGCATAATCTTACCCGGGAACACATAGATTCCCACTGCCGCCGTCACGTGCCCTTTCATTGCGTCCTTTATCGGCCCACTTTTGATAAAGGAAAAACGAACGCGCGTCCCAACGTTACTCGTGCGTCTTCCGTTTTACACTCAGGTGCCTGAGCAAGGCGGAAGGCGCTCACCTCTCGGGTGCCCGTCACGTAGCCGTTCTGCACGCCAGCCCTAAAGGCGCTGTTGACTCGGACAACGACGTCTCACCTCCTCCAATCAGTCGCTGCGTTGTCAGTGGGACAGTCACTCCACCGTCGGCGTCCGCCAGTTGTCCCGCCAGTACTACGCCGGAAGGGGCGCTGTCTCCTTCGTCTCCTTCCTCCCCGACAGCCGACTCTTCCAGCGGCTTGAACACCAGCACCGCTCTCGACGAGCCGTCCCGCTCCGCGTCGCAGTTCGTGGTCGACCGGCCCTTCATGCTGCTGATGCTCAAGAGAAGACCCGACGTCGTGCTCCTGCTCGGCACCGTCAAGAAGCTCGTCTAGTTCCACAGACACCCGACGGTATACGTCGGATACGCAAACGCTGAATTGCGTCGGAGTGCCGCCTCAACACCTGGTTCATAAATGCATTGCGCGCAATGCGGTATCATCTTGACATCAGAGTGCTTCATCGGCATTTTGTTTTATCGAAGCTAAATAAGGCACAGCCACAGTGCAACACTGATAAAAAAAAGTTACAAGTGATTGTAATATCAAGCGATGTTCTATCTATCGCTGCGTAGAAATGATTTATATTGATATATATATTTAGGCATGGTTGGTTAAGCTTACTCAGAGGGTTTACTGTATTTTTATCGTATACAATCGGGAGTTCACTTCTACAATCGCACAATCAGTCGTACGTTGATCATAATGAAACATTTTCTTGATCGTGTCAATAAAATAAACTCATGTAGCTCAAACACTCTTTGCTTCTCCCTATGCTTTTTTTCTGCGATTACAGTTCTGCCTCTTGTATTTTCTAAACCACATTACGGGTACACGAAAATCGAAGCTCTCTGCTACACACTTAGACCATTATATGCACATCTGCCTATCGCAAGTTTTCATTTTATGCGTTCGGCTTTATGCGTTCGGCTGCGACTCGCCCCCTTTTGTGTGTTGCCTTGCACGTGCTGTTATGACAATGGAACAAAAAAGTAACAGTTTATGTATTTCACAACTTCGTAGGTCATCATGACAGTGATTCTTATTCCCCGTCACGATGTAAGACACCATTTCACGACACACCAAGTTAGTAAACAAGTTTCCACCAGCGACTTCTCTTGTTTATACAAAATTTAAAAAACGTTTATTGAGAGAAGTTGTGAGAAGAATGTGGGTGCAGCGTAGTCTATAAGGATCCACTGGCACCAGCAGCACACTGGAGTTGGTCGAGAAGTGTCACTTGGGCCTCCTTTTCTTCCCTGGCGAGCAAGGTCTCCATAGTTGCATTCAGAAGTTTTATGCTAGAATCATAATAGAATCGAACGGGAAAACTTTTAAGGTCGTTCGTAGGGGTGAATCAGCACGCAGCGGGCAGCTCCACGTCGGGACAGGTTGGCCTTCTCCACAACGTTGCGAGCCTGTTGGACTAACATCGTCGTCAGCCCGTAATGCGGGGCACCGCCAGAGCACGTATTCTATTGGCAACCCTTGAGAAAAGCGTGCGACTGTTGGTCATCTGACTTTCGGTATAGATACTGTGCAAGCATGCACATGCCCCGACCTGCAAGAGAGCTGCCGCGGGATTGCTATTGTCCGGAACCACAGTGCAGCGCGTCACTGTACATCGTACTTGATTGGTATAGGACATTACGAGACGGAAGCAAAGGCCGAGCAGACCAACACAACAGGGCAGAGCACTCGGCTGGTCTGCGCGGTCATTTTTTTCGTAATATGCTATGTCTGTTAAAGCATGACGAACAGACTCGCTCAATTTTCAATACTATTGCTGTATATCTTCTTTACCCGCGTCACCCAGCAGGAATTCGAGGCATGTTACAATTCTCTGATTATTGTTTGATTACATGAAACTTCACTTGAAATAGGTTTCGGAGCCTGTCATAGATGCTTATTTTTGAATGCGATGGCAAACAGACTCGCCAAAGTGGCCCATAGTGGGGCCATATAGTTGATAGCAATTGGTATGGTGCTACCCAGACGAAAACCAAGTCGCACGAAAGATTTCACTTGCACAATTCTCGGTTCCTCCCCTAGTGTCGAGAGGAGCCATGTGAGAAAAATATCAATATTATTATTACGCATACGGGTGTCTTGCATCTCGACTGGTAGTGGTGGTTTCAACAGGAGAGGTTTCGAGGGAAACCAGTGGCTAGTGGGTCAGATTTCTTACAGTACAAGATGGAGAACCTACTCGTGGACCTCATTGGCCTTGGCCGCGGTCCTGGCACGCCGGATCATGGCTTGTTGGGCCGAAAGGTTCTGGCAGCAGACAAGAGCCGCCTTGCAGTCCTCTCTCTTAGGATCGGGGTTTGGCGGTAAAGGATTGAGCTGACATGTCCATACCACATGGTAGGTGTCAGCCACCTCCACACAGCACTGCCGGCAAAGGCCAAAAAAGGAACAGTCAAAATCGTAACCGTGGTCCCGCACAGTAACGCATTGGTTAATAGATGGAGAAGTATTCTCTCGTCCGTCTCATCCTCGCCTGTTTAGCGCGAACTATTTTTTTGTTATTTGTTTGGTACCTAACTCGCCCAGCAATGAGTCTTGTATGGCGCATAGCTACCGCCACATTGAAAACAGGTTCAAACATTCGAATTTTAATTTTTAAATGTAGCCTATAGCTAGTTTGGAAAAAAATCAATACCTCTTATCCCACTGTCCGGAAACTTTAAGTTTATCAAGACCGGAAATAAGTGAATAAATAACTTCCCAATTACGTAAATGCATATTTGCCCTAATTATTTATTGACTCAACGCTGTTTTGGTGATCTCAGCATTGAGCCTAATATGTGAAGTGTAGATAAAACTGTCAATCACCGTTTTTTTTAAAACGTTAATTCATTAGTGTTAGTGAGGAGGACCATTCGATACACGGTGTAGGACAGTAGGTATTGTTATCATGCCTGGACAAGCTTTCTTTTGGGAGCATCTTCTATATAACGCTGCCACAGGTATGTTGGGACGTCAGCTCACCCGTTCAGCCCTAGGGAAAATTTAGAGGCGAAGCACTTTAGTGCTTAGGTTTGTCCCTTTATGTTCTTGTTCACCTTGGAGAGATTCGAGGATTTAGGGCAGGGAAAACGTTTGAATAACTATTATCAATCATAATTATGACGTAGTGACATATATCACGATCCTGGAAACACAAGCCCCTTTTATATTTGTCAGCAACTTTAACGTTGACATTACAAACATTAGAACCTAGCTTGATTATCGATGCTCACTGCCCACTGTCATATACATAAAACCGTTGCTATAGTCGAAAGATACGTGTGTAAGTGAATGAAAAAGGTTTACAATGGACGAAAAGCTATAATGACCTTGACGGGTGGAGAAATGCCAACACCTACAAGCATGAACCATTTATAATATTCGGTGACTACAACGTAGACATTATAGACATTATGGGTGACTACAACGTAGACAACGTAGACAACATAGGCCTTTGAACCGAGCTTTCTCGTTGACTCTGTCATTTTATGTCCCTCAATTTACGATAAATGAGGCAATGCTTAATTTGTGAGACACAAAAAAGTTTAACAATACACTTACTTCAATCACAATTGTGAAAGATCAATACACCAACGTACAAGCACAAGCTTGTATACTAATCTTCTCTGTATACTAATCTGCTCTATGTTACTAATCGGTGACCTCAACGTTGGCATCATTGACCACAGCACCCCGCTTCGCCCACTCACCATTCAATTCCTGGAGATGCCTAGAGAGAGAGAGAGAGACCGAGAGAACTTTACTTAAAGAGGAATAAAAAAGTCCAGCGAATTATTGCCCTTGGGCTCTAGCGGCTGCCTCGGCCCGCTGGACGACCCACAGTTGGTCCTCGAGGGCATGGCTGAGTAGCGCACTCTCTCAGTACTTTCGGTTCGAAGCTGCGTCCTCTTCTGAAGCCGCATCTCTGTCACCCTCCCATTGCTTATGTCACAAGGTTACACTGGCCTCGCAAAACTTGCAGCGTGACGGATAAAGCTGTGGGTGACAGAGATGCAAGATCGCCGGGTTCAGAAACATTCTGGTCTGCAGCTGTTGCCACGTGACCACCTGCTTTTTGTTCAGTGTTTATTGCGATAACAATTATACGGACAATCAATTGTTGTCGGCGCCGTTCTTGCCCTGTCCTGGATATCTACAAGTAGATTCTTAATAGTAGTAGTAGTAGTAGTAGTATTTTTATTTACAGTAAGCCGGATACAGAGCTCACTGCAGGGGCAAAGGGCTAAAGGCGAACAGCCTGACAAAGACCCTTGTCCCTCCGCAGCCCGTGACAGTGCAAAGCTTAGACATCAGCACTGACAAACAATATATATATTCAATACATTGGTTTCAAGCAACCTGAAATTGTAAACACAAAATTCAAACAAAAATAGCATAAGAAGTTTACATAACACATTTTAAGAATTACAGGTCACTCTCGTTAAAATTCACAACTAAGCAATGTCAATGAAACAACTCAAAAACATACACAAAATGCATGCGGATACAATGAATTCCGCTGTATACACTCGTATAATTGACATAGAAGTTTATGAACAATTTAAACATTTGCAGAGGCATGAGACTCCATTACGTAGTTTCGATAGTGTAGACAGGTGGTTATGAATAAGTTCTTTATTTGTTTCTTGAAAGTCGCACTACTAGCCCTAAAGTTCAATTGATCTGCAAGGGTATTTAAAACCTGAGGTACCTGGTAAGCAATACTTTGTTTTCCATATTGGGTTCTTGTTTTAGGAGCTCGTTTCTTTTGTTCTCGCAGACTGTAGTGTGGTCTTCGGTGCAACTTTCTTCATATAGCTTAGTCTTTTGTATTAACTGAAGTAATTTAAAATGATATAATTGATCAATTCTGAGTATGGAATGTGTAATGAATAGTGGAGCAGTGCGCAAGTCTTGCAGATTCCCCCTGTGATTTTCAAAGCAGCGCAATATTTTCTTTTGTATAGTTATTAACTTATGGTAATTCCCTTGTGATGTCGTTCCCCAGACTAACATCTCATAACTTACTTTAGAATGGAAGAGTACATAGTACATACTTATTTTTAACCTCAATGGGATTAAGTGCATTGTTCTAAAAAACAACCAGCCATTCGCGCTAATGCGGTGATCAGATGATTTACATGTGTGTTCCAGTTTAATTCCTCCTGAAACCATACACCAAGAAACTTTTGTTCCCTAACATGTGCGATGGAATTTCCTTCAAATTTGACAGCTATGTTACTAATAGGTTTGTTTAAAGGTCGGAATATCATATGAATATCATATAGGTTGTTTTTTTGCATTCAAGCGCAGTCCATTTTGCC